GAGCCCGTTTGACGACATCGACCAAGATTGATTTATGAACTAGTACAAGACGCTGTTAGCTTGTGATTTCCGCTTATGCTCTCACCGACTGCTGTTCTGTTGCTGCCAAGCACACATCCTCCTACGAACTGAACACGCTCCAACCGGTGTTACTAGTTCTGATATCATAATACTTGCAGAGGATATGAATGCACAAGTTGGTCGCTTGGGCTTTTCAGAAGCTCAGCTACGTGGTAAGTATGGGCTTAACTCCGACTGAACGGACAACGGCGAGCATCTTTTGCAACTTTGTGCGAAGTACCAGCTATTTCTTAGTAGCACTGATTTCAGACACTGATTGCCGAACGGCCACTTGGCGTCCTCCTGTAGCTGGCCAGCGATGGACCCAAATTGACCATATTGCCATAAGTTACAGGTGGCGTGGTTCCATCCTGTATTGTCGCCCGTTCTGCAGTACTTGCGTCTACTCTGCTCATGCTTTGGTACGCTGTCGTTTTTTCACAAACTTTACTGGGATGCGCACCAAGCGTATCCCCCGATTGGCAACTAAGAGATTACCTCTGCTCTGTCAGGCGGGACTACCAGAATGCACTGCGTACTGAACTTTCGCTCCCTTGTCCTAATGACACAGTTTCAGTGGAGTACGATCTCAACCTTCATGTCCCATGCACGAGCACCTACTTGGGCCACCATCAATCGTCATCGCACCAGTCACTAGATATCCGAGAGGTCGGTAAACCTGTTGCAATCCAGAAGAGACCTCCCGGCTGGCTCTGAACACAATGTGACCAGACGGGCTATTATGCGCGAACTAAAGAAGTGCCTGTGCGTTGACACTGAAGCCTGGTGGACTAGTGGGGTTCAAGGAATGTAGAAAGTGAGAGCAGTAGACAAATTACGTAAGCTGTTCCAGAAGATCCGCGCCACTGATCCCGGGAAACCAGGCGTCGGTGAGACAATCAGAGACAGCACGGGTGCACTGGTACACAATAAGGAGCGCCCTATGGCTTGTTGGGCGGAGAACTTTCGAGATCAGTTCATTTGGCCTCCTGCTTCCGGACCTCTTCCAACTCAGGTGATGCAGACCGAGCCCAAGATGTTTAGTTTAGAGCCTGCGTCGAATGCTGAAATCAGAAACATGATCGCAGTCCCGAATCATATTCGTGCTTATAACAAGGAGGGTTTTACTTATAAATTCAACGTTTTCGTCTCAGCAGCTCACAAACTGCATTTCCTAACCAAAAATCAGAAGGGCACCAAACGCATTTCGTCCTATTGGGGCTCGTCGTTGGTACGCATTCCTTCGGTCTCCTTCTGAGGATCGAACCTATAACCGCTAGAGGCTGATTTCAACTAGCCAGCAGCTTGAAATTACAACTAACATTCTCCTACTCATAAGTAATATAAAATGTAGCCTCTGCTAATTTCCTATGCTATGGACGTAGCGTCAAGTGAGAGGAGGCCATGACTTGGAGGCTAGGTCCTGTCATCTGCAAGTGTAGTAACCTGCGTGCCAGTGAACGATAGGTCGTGTTAAATCCCAGTTAGCTTAAAAATTATCTAGCCCAACTGCCGTCCTCCTTGGCTGAGTGGCTTAAGCTGCTGGCTAGTTGGCGTCAACTTCTAGTGGTCGTGGGTTCGATCCCCAGTAGATGACCGAGGGAATGCGCATTCACATGCGCATCCCAGTAGGGCGAAACGCGTCTGGCGCTTTTACGGATTGTGGCTGGGCTATGTAGCTTTTGAGCTGCTGGGACGAAAACACATTCGTGCTACTGGCCAGAAGTCTCCGTCACCCGCACTGTTGAAGGATGGAGGTGAGGTCCTCTGCAGAGCGCTGACCTCACTGTTCAAACAAGTCTGGAAGGATAAGACTGTCTTGGCTAACTGGAGTGGTCACTTGCTTAGGAGGGCCTTGTTTAGTCTGTTAGATATAGGATGGCGCAAGACACGAGCTGGAAAATATTTGACTTGGCTGCGGGAAATGAATTCATTGAAAGCCAAACTGGATGCCGTCGCTCCGTCTCGCCTTCCAGGCTCTAGTCCACGTGATCCGCCTTGTGCTCGGCTCGAGATTTTTCAGGACATGGCTCGCAGCCGACACCAGTGACGCGTCTGCTGCCTACTCCTAGTACGACTTCCTGTTTAAAGGGTGTTTGGTGCTGAGTTATCTGCGCGGTAATGGCTGATTATGACGCGTGGCAGTGAAAGCCGCAAGGAAGTTGTCTCGCCGATGCCGCCGTATCTTTGCACGATAGCCAGCTGTTTGTGACGGTATGATGTCTACACAAGGTGTAGGCGCCTTGACCCGGAATGTTTGCTTAAGGCATTAAGGATTTCCGGTAAGGTACCCCTTCTCTCCCTCTTATTTTTTATTCCATTGGTCATTATTGTTGTATGGAAGCGAAGTATCACTTAAGTAGCTGATGTACTGTTGTTGTTGATGATGATGATGATGACAGTTGATTGTACGGTTTACTCCCTTCTTTTTTTAGGTTTTGCAGCACAGTAGTGAGGTGTTTCCCACCTCTAGCTAACGTGTATCGTGTGTATGTGTGTGTGTATGTGTGCGTAACGTTTATGCATAGTGTACTGATTTATCTGCGGGAAAGGTTGGCTGCGACTTAGAACACTGGAACGCTGTCGTTCATTACTGATGCACGCAGTTAGTTTTTGCCCTTCCTCAGCTGTTTCTACTGAACTTTACACCATCGCAGTGTGGCCTGAACCTTATAGTCGTGCGATGGTCTCCGAACCTTAATAATCCATTGAGCTGTTATGAGTGATTCTTCTTGCACCTTCACTCACTCATAACAGTTTGCTCGGAGGTTATAGGCCAAACAAACTTGGTCTTCCAGGTTAGAGTTTGGAGTGAGAATGAATTCTCCTCCCACACTGTAGCCCCCCGTCAAACTTTCGCTGCCTTGTGCTCAGGTTTTTGAACAAAGCCTTTGGTTAATGACCTTAGTCGTTTTTGATGCTCTAGCCATCTCAGGGGATAACCAACGGGGTACATAAGCGTGAGAACGCTATTGCCCAAGCCTTCCTGTCTTCTTATTGTGGTGGAAACTGGCTAGTTAGCAGCATTAACTCCAGGCCGACCTCCGCGCTAATAGCGTCGTTGCGGACGTCAGCCGAATCGAAACCGCAGCTGGGCACATACAGGTGCGGGATCGGAGTTTACGCTCGTGCTACAAATAGATCGGTAGTTCTGGCCACATCCTCTTTAACGGTAACTGATCGCGAGGGGCTGAACTTAGATCCATGACTTGTTTGTGGTATGTGCTTGCCATGTCACCCTTCTGCGGGTGCTGTCTCTGAAGTTAGTACTCTCGAGAAACAGACAAGCATCTTCACATAGGTGTGGCACCTGCTCACCGTTATCATTACTGAAACATACACTACCTCATAAGTGGACATCCTTCCAACTTGAAACGTCCGGATCACCAGCCAGCACAACGGAACCCGTACTTCTGCTATGACGAAGGAGCTCATAGTAAAAATAATCGTTTACCGAGTTAATACTCCAGTCTATCCGGGGATAGGCAGCAATGACAAAGAAGCATCTATTGGACCGCTCACGTCGATGCTTTGAACGACGCAGCCTACCTGACGGTGCACATCCGGCTGCTGATTGGAATTCGTTCGATCTTGGCAGCTTTATCTCGGTGGTTCAAAGCAATAACTACACCGGCTTGAGCGCCATTTGTAACGATCATTTCCGGACAAATGCAATGAGATAAGGACTTCAGCATCACATGTTGGGGATCGCAGGTTAAGCGCGGTTCTCGAATCTTGCAGGCGGTTTTTCGGTGAGCGGCAGCTATTGATCAATGGAGTTTATAGTGTTCGAGCAAGTATTGCTTCTTGACCAAACTGTAACAACGTGCGCACTTTTGGGCATGCCAGTCTTAGCTAGGATCGGGAGGTCCAGATAGAATCGGGGGGACTGACCTTTTCCGCTTAGTAGAAATCGAATTTTCGACTGGACCAGAGCGACGCCTGTGTGTCGAAACTAGAAAATGGATAAGGGCCAATAATTGCGTGATTGAAAACAGGGGGGATAAATGTGAAGTTGGAACGCGACGATAAGGATGCAAAGTGCGCGAGAGGGAATACGAAGACAGAAACGCTTAAGCAGTAGCATCCAAACCCCTATCCACCCTGCTCGATACAACAGATAGGGCCCCGTTGATTATCCTCTGCGACGGCCAGAGCATTTAGAGATTGTTTAAAGGGAAAGTTAGTGTGTTGTATTGCGTGGGAAGTATACTGTCAGATTGCCCAGGCCTAGACAGGAGAACGATTAGGGTTCTCAACCAAAGCCTTTGGTTCAGAAACCTGACCGCAAGACAACGGGTTTGGCAGTGGGCTACACAGAGTCCATTTTATGGAGTAAGGAGCCACCCACTCTCCAATCCCCAACGTGGAGGGCCAGGAGACCGAGTTCGTCGGACCGCTAACCATTGACCAATCTGGTATAGCTCAATGGATGGTTGAGGCACACAAACCATCGCCCCGCGTTAATATCTAGTTTCGTCGCGATGGAAAGGTTGGGATCATTTAGATTTGATCTTAAAAATTGGAAAAGGTGGAAAAATCCGTCCGCAGCATGGCATGTAGTTTTCCGTGTATTATCCGGAGCTTAGCATTATTGTCCACGTGAATCCAATGAGAATCGTGGAAACGAATTGCTTTAGGCGAGGCACTGGTTTGTGCTTTCTGTGGAATCTAATAGGTTAATAACCCGCATGTCGGCAACACGAGCAATTCTGTAATTTTATGCGCTACAGCTCGTCTCTGTTCTCAACTGCTAATGGTTATCGCTGTGTAAAACGGTGGTATAAAAATTCCGCCTTTACGCACCATTTCTTACCATGTGATCCCCACTGTTCCATTTCTCGTCCAATTACTTTGATATTTTGCACTACCCATGTACCGTGAGTAGTTAGTGCAGTTTCACGCAAATGTTTTCTCCATACATTTTCTCCCAATCAAAGTCCTTTCCGGATTGTGAGCGATTGTGGGGCTGCTTTCGCTATGGGGAGCATCGGAGGCGGTCTCATTCATATGTACAAAGGGTATCGAAATTCGCCCTCCGGTTATATGCGAAAAGTCGCGAGTGCCCTATCCAACTGTCGCCAGCGTGCTCCTCTTCTGGGCGGCGCCTTCGCTATCTGGGGCGGCACGTTCACCGCTGTCGATTGTACCTTGGTGTTCGCTCGACAAAAGGAAGATCCGTGGAATTCCATTACGAGTGGGGCAATCACGGGTGCCGTTTTGGCTGTCCGGCATGGTCCTGCTGCGATGGTCGGTCAAGCAGTTGTTGGTGGCGTTATCCTGGCAATTATCGAAGGTCTTGGGATCATGATGAACCGTTTCGCACCCATGTTAATGCGTATGTCATTGTGACTTTCTTTTCAATGATCCACTTTTACGTCCCTACCACTGCAAACGTGAGCCGTGTCACAGTAGTCGTTCGACCTAATTGAACTTTACCTATCTCACTGACCGCTCCTAATCAACCGATCCTTACTGCACGAATTGACTACTACGTTCGTGTTTCACACTACAAACATCGGATTTCAGGTAACACGGTTATCAGGTCTAAGTTCTCATCTAACAGAGCGCTCTTACTGAGCGTTTTGAATCACTTTCGCCAATTTAGACATTTAAACATCATCTTGACATAATCACGTTGTTCCCTCAGTTTGCTCATCTGTTAACAAGCACAGCGTTATTTTTTCCTTACTCTGGAATGCTGGGCTATTCAAGGATCAACTCTTGACTTGGTTGCATAAAATGGATTATCTGACCTCTAGATTTGATTCTCTTGACCTTTCCCACTCTCCAGGTTGGAGTTCATGCTATTTACCTAGCACGTCGTCATTGATCTTGCATAATAAGGCCTGCAATCGGCCCCAACGACGTGTTAGCTATCAGTTATTAGCCGTACTACTTGTATCAATCGTGCATAGTGGCTTGATTGCGAATTAGGTCATCTATTGCCACTGGAATGTGCCCACCGTTGGCCGTTTTTTTGATAACCAAATTTCAAAGTCGGATGAGTTCAATACACCTAAGTGCTTGCATTTTTCAGTATTCATACTTTTCGATTGTCACTGATGCACGCTTTGGCAATGATTTTCGTTGTGTCAAATGGTAAGCGTGGCAGGTACAGTAGAACGGAATGTCTACTTAATTCCGCGCAGGAGGATAGAAATGTTTTGCGCTCGCCAAAGCAACCCGTCGAGATTTCGAGTAGTGGCTGTGTTGAAATGTCCAGAATGTAAACTACTAAAATAAAATCAACTGGAATGTCAGGTTGAACCTTGCTTCCAGTTATTCGCCTTGAGAATCACACAATCAAATTGTGATCTCTCATGGAAAACAATGATGGTGGTAAAGACTTCGCGCCTTCTATATTATCCCATCTAACCTGTTCACGAGTCACCACTATCGGACCATATTTGTTCAGCCGCAATGCAGTTGGGTTTGATCCGTCTCAGTTCCTACTTGGATATAGAAGTCTTCATTTCAGAAGGCTTGGTTAATATATATATATATATATATATATATATATATATATATATATATGCTGAATCTAACGCGCATAATACTTCTCCCGTGACGTCTCCAGACACTGCTGTGAAGCGAGGCTACCTGCTTCTTCCAGCCAGTCATTTCGAGTTGGATAACCCCACTATTTCGGTTGCTATTTTTGGAGTAATAAATAATGAATAATAATAATGTGTCAGCTGTAGGCCATAATGGCGCTTCACTGCCGCGCGACCACCATAAGTCGCGCACGTGCTGTGTATGCCGCGAGGACGCCCACCCGTACGCGGATTCGAACCCAGGACCTTATGGTTGCAAACCACGTGGGCAGACCACTCGGCCACCGGCCGACTATTTTGGAGTGAGGTTGTCTTACGTGCTTCCCCCAATCAAATCCCACTTTGTGGGCTGTGACATGTTCGCAGGCTGGTATGTATATTTGCTTCATTTTTTCCAACACTACGGTCACGTTGTTTATGTGTGCCGGCTCCTGGCGCCACGGTAGCATGTAATTGCTTTATCTGGTTTCCGCTTGTTTCTAGTTGCAACTTTCTTGCTGTCTAACCGAAACTCTCTCGGTTAGAATGTCATCAGTGACGCATACACTGCATACATCCGCCTGTTCCTCTCAGACAGCTGTTTCTGGTTTTACAGTGGTTTGCATATGGGATGAGATGAGTATTGGGAGCACGAACTATTTGCATGTGCAGCTTTGCGCTTCTACGGACAATGTAACAGGGTCACCACCACCACCATCCTTCCATCCGCTTGTACCAGTCTGAACTAGTGCGTTTCACTGGACCTTGTTAGTTACACACGGCATTCACTCATCCAACTCGTTTCTCCCCATCCAAAGCAGTTGTCTTACCATTGTTATCCCCTGTTCTGTCATTGCCGTACATCTGGAAGACATGGGACCGCTTCTTGAATTTTGCTGTCTACTATAACATGACAGAGTCGCATTTCCACCTGGGTTGCCACATGTTTCCCTCTTTGCGTCCGTTCTTCATATCGACCCTCCTTACTACAGGCAAAAGCTATATTTCTCTTTGTTAACTTCCCTTACGGCATCAGCGTTATTGGTTAGTGATTTTAACTTACAGACCTGACTAGCAAGAACTATTGAGCTTCGTATTTATTCGCACAGTTGTTACTACTATATGGTTTAAGGCATTTCATTCTGTCAAAGGCATCATTAATGGATTTGAAGACCTTTTGTACGGTTACTTTTTATTTCGTTCCTCCTTTGCTCACCGAAATGCAAGCAAATGCTTAGGTCTCTCTCCATCATCTCAAAGTTAACACCTGGCCTATGGCATCCGTGTTTCTTATATCGATTATTTTTCTATGGTAAAAGTTTTATGTGCTGACCCTCACCCGTTCCACTATGTCATCGTACGCCAGTGTGACGTGTGAAGTGCGCATGGCACGTGTAGTGCGTGGAGCTGAGTGTGGCACTGACCACAAATTGGTGCGGACCAAACTGTACACGTCGAAATTGGGTGTTGCCCACCCGAAAACACTGCACAACGACGACGCGTTTCGATGTCATTTCATCTCATCAGGTGGAGAGAGCAGGCCTCGAATCCGCGACCATTGGAAGAGTAGCCGAAACCTCTACTCCTTTGGCTACCGCGTCACGGCGGACAAAACTTGGCACAACGGTGAATCACTACTTGGAGTGTCTATGTTAAAGTATATGTTGTGTGATTGGATTGCGACGCGCAATCTCAATGTGGACTGCGATTCACATTGAAGTGAACCGTCGTCACTGCGATCACTGGGACTCTAGTCAATGCAGATGGAAATTTGGTGTTGCCCGCCCGAAAACACTGCACGACGCGTCTCGATGTCATTACATCTCATCAGGTGGAGAGCAGACCTCGAACCCGCGACCATTGGAATAGTAGCTGAAACCTCTACCACTTTGTCTACCAGATCACGGCGGGTAACATTTGGCACAACGGTAAGTGATTAATTAGGGGGTCAATATTGGACTACACATTGTGTTAAAATCTGTCCGTCACCATGATGCAGGTTGCTACGCGACAATCATGATGGTATGCGCCTACAGCTGGCCGGTGCGGACCGCTATCAGGTTTGAATCCGCGTAGACAAGTGACGTGAATCAGCTCAGAAACATGCAGTCGGAGATGATGTCATGTGGCCTATAAAGTCAACCGTGTTCTATTCCTAGTACACTTCGGCCTGACAGGCTTCAGTCTTCTGTTATTTGTCGCAGGTTGGGTTTGCAGCGCAGAGAGCAGAAGCAAAAGGCAGCGTTACAACAGGTTGTGGAACCGAACGTGACGAAAGGGCAATGTGGATTCCGTTTGGGTCATAACACCATCTATATCGTGTTTGCGGTTCGTCAGTTGCAGGTAAAGTGCAGTGAACGACACCAGCCCTTGTATTCGCGCCTTGTTTATTTCACTACGGCATTTGATACGGTGAACCGCGAGACATTGTCCCTGGTCTTGGGTAAATTTGGTTGTCTGAGTAAGTTTTTAAGTTTAATTGAATGTCTGCAGTGGTATGCGGACAAGGGTGCAGCCGAGTGGACAGACCTCCGATGACTTTGCAGTTGTCTCTGGTTTGAAACAAGGCTATGTCTTAGCTCCTGCTGTGTTGAATATTTATCTTCATGCAATTATGTCGTGTGCGTTTGATGCGGCTTGTGCTTACGGTGTTCGTGTGGTTCACCGTATTAATGGTGGATTGCTGAACATCCGTCATTTCGGAGTGAGAACCCTAGTCTGAGACAACTGTTTGCTGACGACTGTGCGTTGTTTTTTGCCCACAGCGCGGATGAGTTGGAGCACATGACTAATGCTCTGGCTCCGACAACGGCCAAATTCGGGCTCACCATCAACACAAGTAAAACTGTCTGCCTATTTCAGCCTTCACCGGATCTGCAATAGTGCAGCCAATTAACGTCTGTGATGTCGTATTGGGAACCACCTCCCGCTTCTGCTACCTTGGGAGTGTGGTTTCGACTGAGCAGCAAATTTATAGAGAACTTCGTATCCGCGTATCGAATACGGCGCCGGCATTCGGGAAGCTTGAGTACCGAGTGTGGAACAACCACCAGTTTACTGTTGATATGAAATTAATGGTCAACAAGTCCATGGTGCTGTCCGTTCTATACGACAGCGAAACGTGGACGATATACCGGTTTCATCAACTGTGTCTGCGACGAATTCTGCGCATTCGTTGGTGCGACAGAGTTGCAGACACGGTGTTGCGCCGAAGTGGAATGTATGCAGTGAACTGCATACTTTTGCTGAGACACCTGAGGTGGCTCGGTCATGTGTGGCGTATGGAGTGGACGCGGTTACCGAAGCAGCTGTTATGTGGTCAGCTGAGTGTGGGGAAGCGGCTTGTGGGGAAACCGAAGCTTCGTTAGCAGGACATGATCAAAGTGAGTCTATCACGTTATAATATTGATTTCAGGTGTAGGAAATCGAAGGCGGTTGTTCGGCTTGCATGGCGCAATCTGTTCCCGAAATCAGGTGCCTGAGTGCAGGAGAATGCGCTCGTTCCGATAGAGTGTAGTCTATCGACCTCAAGCGCATGGTGCTATAGCACCTGCGGTCGCGAATGCCTGAGTCAAGCAGATCTAGTGAGCCACGAGCGAGGCCACTCGGCACCACCTTCGAAACGACGACGGGTGCTGCTGAGAACGTAGACAGAACCGGCGCAGCGTTGGTACGTACGCTGTATGCTCTTCCATTCGATTTACTCACCGCATGTTTGCTTGCCAAGTTCCTTTGTTTCAGGCGATTGGTTTGCTATATTGTCTTAGTGTTATCTTACATCCTTTTTATGTATACCTGAATAATTTATTTACTTGCACACGTCGCTTAGACGAAAGGTGGTTAACTTCCTAATCTTTTTGCCTTTGTTGCATTTTTTGATCTTTTGTTTTGTCATGTTGAATTTATCGCTGATTTGTCGATAATGCACTTATTCCATATGCCAATTTAACGAAGTGTTATGTCGGCATATCCGTATGCTTTATTCGAGTTATTATTTTTGCTATTGTCATTTCCTGTGGTTGGCTGTTGCTTGAAATCCCCTGTGTGGCTGCGTTCTATGTGAATGTTGACAAGGTACCTATCTGTCTAGCAACCTCTACTTCCATTGCTGGGTCCAGGATACTGAATTGTCGCTTGGGGGGGGGGGGTCGGGTTACACGGTCCTCGTGGCCGTGCTAGCCTCAAAGAGTGGTTCCATCCAGTGTGGAGCGGACAACAACCCAGCCACCGCATTGTGTATGCCTGTTTCGCATGTTATCCCAATTAGGCATAAATGTTGCTGCTGTGCATGTTGAAGGAGTGTCGGCCGGCTCCGTCGTATAAACGTAGATCCCATCCACGTGCCTCCCGGTCTTATTCCTTCGGGTTTACACCGGATATGGTGTGTATGGATGGAGCTGTAGGTTGTGCAGCGCAAGCCTCCTATGGTCCCTCTGTATGTGCAGGCGTCCTGTGGCTGCCCCCGTGGACGCCGCAGTGACAGGCAGATCTGGAATCGGATGCCGCCTATCATAGGTATAAATAATCTCAAGGAGCGCGTCCTGATGCCCGTGTGCGCCCGCTTCAGCTCTCGATATTCGATGTACTTGTAGCCTGTACAGAGCGAACAGGCTTTCAGGTAGGGGTGCGAAGTCCGGCCACCCAAGTAACTTCCTCATTGGTGTGACCACCAGAGGTGACACAGCTACCAATGTAAGTGAACTGATCTACCTCCCTAGTTGTTGTTTCCTGGTCCAGCCCGCCAATAGCACTTTGCACTTTGAAGGCGCAAAGCACATGCCTGAATGTGCAGCGCTACACACCATTCTATCTAGTAGTACTTGCAGGTTCAATGCGTCAGACCCAAGAAGGGCTATGTCGTCCTCATACTCCAGGTTTGTCAGTTGGTCACCTGGTAGAACTCCGGTAGGGTCTGAAAAAACGGCATCATTCATGATCATTTCGATAACAAAGTTGTGAAGGAAAGGAGATATAGGGCAATCGTCCCGAACCCCCCTTGTCTTATGTAACTCAGGAGATAGCTTCCATAAAATCTTGCGCTTAAATGGGAGTCACGGTAGAGAAACTACAGGATGGAAAAGATTTTAGCTTGCACTGCCTTTATGGGTAGGCAGTGCCACAGGCTGGCGCAGTCAACAGAGTCGTAGGCGGCTTTCCAGTCCAGGGAAACCGCCATAGTTGTGTCTTTGCTCTAACATCTGGCGAAGATTAGATATGTGATCGATAAAATCCCGACCAGGGCGGAAGCGAGCCAGTGATTCGGTTTCCACGGTTGTCGTCGGAGAATTATACCCGTGCGGCCTTTTGACACAAGGGAACTAAGGCTAATGCCTAAGTGATTTTCGCACAGGTACGCTGACCGTTCTCGAAGACGGGTCTGACAGTCGCCAGTTTGAAGGCACTTCCGTGTCTCAAACCGTGTTAACTAGAGCAGCAAGTGCAGTCAACAGTGAGTCACCTCCATCTTTCCACAAGGATGGAGGAAGGTCGTCGGGTCTTGGAGCCTTGTTTCGTTCCAACACGGCGATCTCATGTCGAACGTCTTCCAAAATAAGATGTATGACACCAACTCCCCACAGCGGCTCAGATGATTCAGCAAGTTGCAGTGTCGCGCAGGCCTGCCTAACTGTTCTTCAAAATGCTCCGCCCAGCGGGCTAATCGACGACACTGCGAATGTATCAACTGTCAGTTTTTCTCAAATATTGCCTCGCTAACTAATGGCTTTCTCGGACCCGTGTTGTGGATGAACTGGAAAAGTACTCGGTTGTTCCGAATAGCACTGACTTTCTCCATATTACGGGTCTTTGACATCCACCAGCGTTGCCTGTCGATTGGATTGCCCCTTGTCAGTCGCCATTTCAGATGGTTACCGGCACGCTTCAGCTCTTTGCCAATTTAAACTTGTTAACGTGCTTCGATCAAACTGATTGATCCTTCAGCGATCCATTCGCAGTTACGACGTTTCAAGTTGGGTGCACAGCTTGCGTCAAAGGCACTCTTCATGGCATACTTGCGACGATTCCAGTCAGCTTTCGGCTCACCAAACTCATTCATCACTGACAACTGGTGTACCAGTTCGTCATTATATTGTTGAACCGCGGATTGCGATTTCACCTTACAAGTTAGAAGCTTAGAAGTTAAGTGATTCTCCGAATCGGGAAGAGTGAGCGCCAAGCTTGCACACACTAGAGCATAGTCAGAATCTAGGCACATGCTCCAAATTGCTCGACAGACTTGGACTTATCTGAGCCATCTGTACCTGATGACAACATGGTCACTTTGGGTACAGGTCATTAAGGGATTCGCTTGGCGCCAGGTGACGCAATGTGGACGTTTGTGCTGAAATGCAATGCTGCTAGGGTGAGGCTTGTGGTCGACGCACAGTTTCGGGAACCCATTACCATTGTCTATTCGGCGTGCATCAACCCCAGGTGTTGTTCAAAGTCTCGAAGACCACCCACTTGGGCGTTTCTGTTACAATCACGATATCAGTATCTTTTTCCATGCGGAGAATGGATGAAAGATATCGATAGAAATCGTCTTTGATACTCTCTGAACTGCATTCAATATGAGTCTAAACTGAGGCGACGGAAAGCCACTTTTTCTATAGACGGTGCTTCTTAATATGTGTTACTACATTGTGCGGACTTGTTTTATATTTTTGCTTGAACATTCCCCCTTCATCTATTTGCAGAGCCTCCTCCTGAAACTTCATCGGATTCTGGAAGCGCATCTGGGCCTGGAGAATCTGGTTCCGGTGGATTCGGGATATTCAACATGTTTGCTTCTGGTTCTGGCTCTCACTCAAGTTCTACCGCTTCGACTGGTCCCGGTGGGACTGTGGACCCTTCCTCCACCTCGAAAGGCGGCTTTGTGTTCCAGTAGTGTTTAAATAGGATGATTAAGTTCCCATTGCCTTTTTGCCACTTTTCCCTTTGCCTTCTTTTGTAAATATTCCGTTTTGCGATTATGAAAACAACTTCATCTTTCGGATAGCGGAATAGACCGATATTTAGTTGACTACATTCACTCTATGTTTACTCACGTTTTCATTGACTCCTTCCGCTTAATCCTTGAGACCCCTTCGGGTTGTTGTGAACGCGGTGATGACCACTGACTATAACTTGTTTGCGAATTGCATACGTCTCCAGGCATGTTCCTTCTCTTCTGTGCGCTTTCGATTTGCTCTGCCATTGAATGGTCGAATAGCTTCATTTGTGAACATAGAAAGATGTAACATGTGATGTAACTATGTTCTCTATGTATTACCTTTGACAACCATCCACGTGCGAATTGGATTGTCGGAAGTCTGGTTCAAATAGACTACCATATCCATTTTGCGATGTTCCACTTCGCTGTGCATTATCGTCTTCGATGTTGCAACAAAAGCCTCGGATATAATTTTTCCCACATCGATGGCTTTCGTGTCCCCTTTGTCTTACGGCTGTCTTAATAGTCAATCTGCAGGGGGTGCTCTTTCCGTACCGTTTCTCTCTTGTGGGCAATAGTTAATTCGGTCGTCACCACGATAGTACTGTGAATGCCCTGACAATAGCGGTTAGAAATTATACAATCACGCCTGCAAGCTCACTCATTTTTATTTCATCGGCTTCGGGAAAGTTCCTGATCATTACCTTAGATAAACTTCGCGAGCTTTATACCTTCTGTCCGAGATGTGCTTCTCTAGTATGACGAGCATAATTTTATCGAACTTTTCAACGTTCACCATTCTTGAGATTTGTGCGTTTGTCAACCATTGTTTTCACTTCAGTTCCCCATCGTGACTGGAGTAGACCTAAACATGTAGCGGTGGTTTGCCTGCCCCATAATCCTGAGTGGTGCTTCCTGCACCTACGGTCAGTTTGGTCGGTGGCTAGAGGCCATACAAACTCAGTCCTTCGGTCCTCTGTAACCCGCTGCCAAACTGACGTTGCCTTGTGGTCAGGTTTTTGAACCAAGGCTCTGATTAGTAATCTTAATTGTTCTCCTATATTGGCATGCGCAATTTAGCAATGTCTTGCACACGCTATCTAATGATGGTCTCTTCACAAGATTTATTGATGCCCTGGCCATCGCAGTGGATAACCAACGGGGTAGATAGGGTTGGGGATGCTACTGCCCAAGCCTTCCTGTCTTTTTATTGTGATAGCAGCTAGCGATCTAACAGCAATGATTCCAGGCCGACCTCTTGCTTGCTCGCGTCAGTAGCCTCATATCGACTTCGAACGAGTGTGCCGATGACACCAAAAATAGTTGATTGATTTGGAATGGCGAGAGCAGAACTCAGCTGGATGCCACGAGAGAAACAACTGGATAAAGTACGCCAATTTGTGAGTTATTTTAATTGATGCGTGGAATAAACTGAGCATGTCTTCTTTGACCGATAGATTGTTGATCGAGACCCAGACTTTGTTTTCGATTCACGGAGCTCGACTAAGAAACTTATCCCCTCTCTTCCGGTTTCTCATCCTTATCGTCCCGTCCCAGCTTAACTTTTGCCTCCTTCGTTTTAAACACCCAACCCTTGGCAACCCCACCATGCTTTGTTAATCGTTCGTCTTCTAGTTTTGACTCACACGCATTCGCAGGACATCACTCTGGCGCAGCCGACAACTTTATGTCCAACCACACGGACAACCTCAGCTCATCGGATGCTTGAGTCCTCAATCCTCGCTAAGACTGGAATGCGTAGTTTAGTCCAGGTCGGCCAACATGGAGTATTGTCTGGACATGAGAGGCCCCATCGATCGGTCTGCTGCTTATCAGAAACCGGATCTTACTCAGCAGCCGGATGTGCACCGTCAGATTGGCTGGCTCGTTCAAAGCTTCGAAGGAGTGCGGGGACATACGGCAACTGTTTGCCATTGCTGCCTACGCCCCGATAGACTGTAGCATTGACTTGGTCAACGGTGACCTCTACCACGAGTTCCTTCGGCACAGCAGAAGTAGTGGGATAATGTGGTGTTGGCAACTGATGTGAAAGTTGTCTTTTGAAGTGTTCCACCTGGGCGATCAACATGGTGTAGACTCCCATAATGATAACGCTGAGCAGTTGTTACACCTACATGAAGATCCTCGTCTATACCTCGCGAGCACTAACTTCCGACACAGCACCAGCCATGGACGCAAATTGATCACATGCGATCAGTTACCGCTTGAGAAGCTGGGTCCAAGATTGCCACACAGTTAGGAGCAAAAGCGTGGTCTGTGACCATGAACTAATATGTGATGATCTGCAGGTGCGTTTCGACAGACACCTGCGATGGCGCTGTGAGTGTAAGGATAACTGTGTACTGGTGAAGCCGGCTGTACTGAATGCGTATCAAGGTACGTTAGTATCGATGCTGATTAAGCGCTCACAGTTAGGGCTCACTAGTCGCATGTTCGCGAAATGTTATTAGCAGTAGATGTCTTCATGTAGCAACTCTGAGTACCAACCTATACATTGGTTGTCTACACGGTCTTTTTAAATTTATGGATTTTCGCCAGCACATTCCGGTTGGAAACGAACAATGCGAGGCAGGCAAACTCTGTAAGGGCAGAACGGCGTATTAGCCTGAAGAGCTCGAACACGGGTGGTCTCACCGTGCATCGGCGACGAATAGCTGCTGCTTTTCAACGGAAGCTCACGTTCGGAATGCGGCGTAACCAGTACCCGGATAAGCCATACCGACGCTTTGCTGCCACGAAACCACCAGCAGCCGCGTGTAGACTATGGATATTGCGAGAATCGCTCGATCCTGCGATCTCCAGTTTGCAAGGCAGAGGTCTTGTACTTTCGGCCACGAGGTTGCTTCGGAATGCGGCAATCCCAGAAGGATCAGTTTTCTCTAACTTAAAGTTGCTTGTTTCTTTCGTCCTTCACCGACTAACAGGCATCTGTGAAAGCCAGATTCGGGAGAACCAAGCCGGGTTTCGTCGAAATCGCGCCTGTATTGATCACACCTTCACAATGTTAAAGCACCACCATATTTACCGGAGACCCACCGTAGTCGTCTTCCTCGACTCAAAGATGCCTTTGCTTTGCTGCATCGACCTTCCCCTTGGAACTCTCTGCTCAGCAAATGTGCCCGATGAATATGTAAATGTAATAAGGAAGCTGTACGCGCCTAGTTCGCTCAAAGTGAGGGCTTATGGCAAACTGTCACTGTCCTTTAATATCTCCAGTTGTGTGAGACAAGTTTTGCTGATGTTACCAATTTTGTTTGACTCCGCCATCGTTGGAGTCATGGAGCCTGCGTTCACAAGACACGACCTACACATGTGATCGATTTCTTGACTTTGAGTACGCCGACAACATTGCTCTTACGTGTGACAGCTCACAAACGTCTCAAGGAACACAAGATAAATTAGCATTGACTATCAGCTGTTTCAAGCTATGTTTGCATCGTTGAACTGCAAAGTCTCTATGATTAGTAGGGACCCATTTCTGAGCTGTGGTGGCAAACAGCTAGAAGTCTTTCGAAATTCAACTATCTAAGCAGCTTTATCAGTATCTGTGAAATAGTATCCGGGAAACTGTAAAAACATCAACGAAAACCCATTCTGTTAGCAATTATTCAATTATGTTCGATTGTGCATTGATTTCGAAGATTCCGGAACCTTACATTCCTTCACTTGATTGTCAACATACGGAGTTTTGGCAAGGAAGCTTTTATTTTTACCAATTGACCTTTGTTTTCTAGAAGCCGAAGGCCATTGAGCTGCCTGTATATTTGGCGTAGGTCTGACGTAGTTGTACAGCGTTCTGGCTACCTTCGGCGGCGTTTTTGTTAACACCTTTTTCGCGATTAAATTCGTTGGACTTCTGATTTATTTTCGACTGGGCTAGAATTCTTGCGGATAAATTTGGGTGTTTAATTCGGAATAGCGAAAAACCTGAACATCTGACACATTTCTGCCCTGACCTATGGTGGTGAGCAGCTAGAAGTCCTTCAAAATTCAACCATCTATGCAGCTATATCAGTATCTTTGAAATAGTAGATATGATCGCGAACCGCATAGCTAAAGCTCGAGGCGCTTTCACCGATCTCCGGCACGCCTTACTGTCGCCATGAAATGCGGGGTTCACAACGCAGCCGTCTGTTCAATCCTTCTGTTCGGCTGTGAAACGTCCTTCATTGGATCGACAGACACAATGTGACTAGCTGCGTTCGACCACCGGTATCCTCGCAGTTTGGCTTATATCTGGTGGGTGCACCGCGTGAGCAATGAGCGTGTTCGGCGCCGCGTATTTGGTGCAGGAAGAGCGAGTGAACCGCTCAGCACCGTTATATCACACACCAAGCTCCGATGGCCGGGCGACATGTTACGCATGTCATTATGCGGTGGTGCGTGACTTGTGTTGTTTAACCTACCGGGGTCGTCCTCACCGGTCACTTGGTCAAGAGGAGTGAGGGTGTACACTTATAACTTGGCATCGCTTTGTGGCTCCCGACCGCCACGTTGGATTCCAATGGAACAATGGCATATTACAGGCAAATGGGCGGATGCTTAGCAAGCCCCTTAGGATGACCAGAATGAGAATCATAACATGGTGACTGGAAAACACAGGGATACAATGAAAATTGTTTTGGTGGACTCACCACAATATTCACACAGAGGTACGCAGGAAGGGCTAAACTCAGTTGTGTAGGGGTTAATTCTGGTTGTGCGACTTTCGTCACATTGTATCGTCTGTCGAGACACACAGGCTGTATCTCGTAATGTAGGTTGGTTAGGGCAACGTCAAGGCGTTTTTTAAACACAGGTAAATTGGGGGCGGAAACAGCGTAATTTGGGAGGGCATTCAATGGCTGACACACGAAAAGAGTAAAAGTTGCATTGACATTCTATCTGACTGTATTGCGTAGCTAACTTGAACTGGTGCCCCCTCACATTCGTGTTGTGGCTCAGTTGTACTAGGTGACGGCAGACGTGGTTGGGGTTCCTTAGAAGCTGGTAGGCCATAATAAGATCGCCACGTAGGGGCCGGTACCGGCCGCTGTATAATTTCAGGGCCCTCAGTCTGAGTTGATAAAGAAGATTGAACCATCCTATGACATGCTTCGTGGCTGCGGAGTGATTTAATGTTTTTGTCCTGTTCCTTTTTTTTTAATTTATTGCCTTGCTGCGCCATACCTGAACTAATCTGCCTCCAGCTTGTGTGTATGTTGATGCATGTTATGTGGAGTTTCGAGTGAGCTGACCTGTCCTCATGTGAATGCGCATGCTTCATCGATTCTCTCCCTAGTTTGTAATAAGCATTGGATGCATGCGCTGGCTCTAGATGTCGCCTGTGCCTTTCGGTTTCACTCGGCGGATTCTGCTGAGTCCCATGCACCATTTTGAACACAACTTGAGTATCGATGGTTTTGGGTCATCAACGCGAGTACGTCAGCAAATTCATCTTGCCTTGGATTCTGCTTTTGAGCATATTTCGATACAGCGTTTGCTTGCACTAGCCACTTTGTCTTTTCCCTTCTACACCTGTTCTCGGCTTTTTCACTTTACCATTGTGAAGTGGTTGAGCCATTAGAGTGTCATCCGGCTGCAGCTATCCGGTCCCGATGGTTGTCCTCAGAAGAAGGCACATGATGCTTGCCTCATAGCAGTTCTCTACAGGCCGCCGAACTCCTCCGCCGACAGCGATGATATTCTGTTAAATGCTCTCCAATATGCTATGTCGAAAAAGTACTCACACTACCTAATAATGGGTGACTTCAATGTACCGTCAATAGCATCTGTGTTCCCAAGTGGGCCATGCTTCAAATCAAAACTCCTTGAGTTCTTGACTATGGCAGTTTTGTATAACCATGTGGATCAACCAACCAGACACCGCGGTTCAAACAAGCCTTCAATACTTGATTTAATCCTGACTAATGAGGAGTTAATGGTTGAGTCGGTTTCATACAACCCCCCGCTAGGTTGTAGCGATCATTCAGTTCTAACGTTTGATTATGTGTGTTATGCCAGTATGGTTGACAAAGAACCAGAAACCCAACGATTCATCACCAACTATTCCAAGCTTCACACTATAGCGACAACCGTTGACTGGGACCTCCGGATGCACACTTCGGCGAATGATACCTGGCAAGTGTTGAAAGGCAAGATAAACTGGGTCCTACAATCAGCTTCAAAAGACGTACCATTACGAGTTTCGCGACGGAGCAACAACTGGATCCGGAGTAGAACACGTAAGTGGTTGAATAGGCGAGACGAGGCTTGGAGGGGTCATTTGCTAGGTCCAAGTGATATCACGTGGAATCATTACAAAACAGTCAGCAACTACTGCACTTCACCCCTTAAAGCTGACAAGTACGAATGGCAGAAAACTATGGTACGCAAATTTACTAGCAATCACAAACTGCTCTACCGGTATGTGAATGACAAAAGGAAGGTTAAGACGGGAATACCACCACTAGAGACGGTCAATGGCCTAACTGTTACTGAAGAGGAGACCGCGGACGCATTGCTCATGCAGTTTGTCTCAGTGACTAGACACACCATGGAACCATCGCCTTGCTACATCCCAGCAAATGTCGTCGGCTTATCCACGGTCAACTTTAGCCCTACATCTGTGGCAAAGAAAGTACAGTCGCTCAGGGAAAATAGTGCGCCGGGAATTGACAAGATCTGTCCGAAAGTACTTAAAACTCTTGCACCCACCATGGCAGTCCACCTTGCAACCTTTTTCCAGTTTCTATTTGATTCTCATACACTTCCGTCTGAGTGAAAACGTGGACTTATCACTCCGATATACAAGGGAGGTAAGCGGTCAGACCCTGCCAACTACCGACCTATTACTCTCCTTCCTGTTCTATCAAAAGTGATGGAGTCCATAATCGCTGATGAAATGGTGAGATATTTTACAAGTCTACAAATCATCTCCAACCTTCAACATGGATTCAGACGCGGACGATCTTGCCTCACCAATCTACTACTTGCTCGGGACTCATGGACCAGGGCTGCTGACGAGGGAGTTCCCGTAGATGTGAGTTACTTAGACTTTTCTAAGGCATTCGACAGAGTCAATCACCCAGCACTTCTCCGAAAGCTTGCGGCTTATGGTATCCACGGATCCTTACTCACATGGTTGGAAAGTTACTTATACGACAGAAGAATCGAGGTAAGGATCGCCAACACCCACTCCGATAGCCTATGCGTCACTGGCGGCGTACCGCAAGGATCAGTTCTCGGCCCGTTACTCTTTTTAGTCTATATCAACGACCTCCCTGCCAACGTTCAATCACCTATGCAAATATTCGCCGACGATGCTAAAATGTGGCGAGCTATTCAGTCAACATCTGACCCTGTCTATCTGCAGGATGACCTGAACCGGATTCACGAATGGGCAGTAAACAACCAACTACCCCTGAACCCCGAAAAGTGTCACCTGTTGTCGCTGCGCAGTAACTGCAGCAACACATATCACCTGGGGCAGCGCGTTATAAAACAGGTGAGCAACGAAAGAGACTTAGGGGTCATCGTGCAAGAAGGTCTGGGTAATTCGCTCCAATGTTCAAAGGCAGCTAACATAGCGAACTTAAACTTGAGGCTTTTGAGGCGAGCGCTCGGTACCTTCGAGCGGCAACTCGTGCCATTATTGATTAACGCCTACATTCGTCCCCACCTCGAGTATGCGGTGCAGGCATGGCGTCCGTGGTTAAAACGGGACATTCGTCTCCTGGAGCAACCACAAAGAAGAGCCACTAAGGCAACACGTGGTCTATCGGGCCTTAGTTATGAACTGCGCCTTCGTTCGATCGGTCTGTACTCCTTAGAATACCGACGACTTCGCAGTGATCTGATCCTCACTTACCGGATACTAAGAGAAGAGGACCATCCATGTAAGTCGCTGTTAACATTATCTGCCGACAAACGATGCCGAGACCATGCACTAAAACTTGTGACTCAATATTCCCGTTTAGATTGTAGAAAGTTTTTTTACTCTCTTAGTGTCTGTCCGCACTGGAACGCACTGCCATCGCATGTGGTGAACGCACCAAACATCGAGACATTCGAAAGACTATTGGACTTGCACTTACATGATACACATTATATAAAGGTATGACAAACTGCAGTGTCTAACTTACTGATATTTTTGTGTCACACCTGAAACTTTTGTTTTCTTCCATTTGCCATCCTGTGGGTCTTGTAAAGTTATTGCTTTTTATCCCACCATACACTATTGAACTATTGAAGAGAATGCGACGAAATTGACATTACTTTTCGTAAGATCAAAGGCAGTGTACACTTTCTCACTTTAGTTTATATAGGTATTTTATGATATGCGCTCCACAAGTCCAAAGTGCTTTAAACATCATAGTAAGCCACTTTCTCAACTAGTTCATCGATCCGAGGTATCGGAAACGCACCGAGTTTGGTGCACCGGTTGATCGTCTGGTTGTAATCCATAACCATCCGCCTTTTGTGTCCCTCGTTATTAATCACAAGCATTTGGGCACCCCACATAGATTTGGACTGTTCGATTATCTGTTCATTAAGCAGTCCTTGAACTTGAATAAATTCCTTGTCAATCGCAGTGAGTTTGTGGCAATGGGACGAATATAAGGGCTAACTGCTGGAATCGACGAGGAGGTACAATACGTACTGCTGCCAGTTCGCAGACAGAAAGGGGTGGTTTCTGACCATCAAACGGAATCTCAAGTTGTGCATGGAGTCTTAGAAAGTCATAGCCGAGCAAAACATGGCCGCAGTGGTTGGGCAACACTGACAGGCTGAGCCGCGGACAAATCTTATCCTTGTGCACAATACTAATCAGGCAGTGACCATTCATGAATGCGGGGTGCGATTTCTAAGCCATAGTAATTTGTTTTCAGGAGAGATATTTTCCACTAGTGCTGGTATGTTACGGTGGATGAGACATAGCTCTCAGAGCTACTTGTATCAATGAGTGCTGATAAAGCAACTCTTTAACGGCGATATTCAGCGTTGCATCAGCAAGACAATGTGGTACTGCAGCGATGGTTTAAGATATTAGTGAATCGTCCACGGCAGACACAATGCGTGTACCATGGTTTCAGGATCAGCATACCTTTTGAAAGTGGCTGACTACCACATGATTTGCACGTTGCGTCCTTTGCAGGACATTTTGAACCGCAAAAGTAACAGGGTAAGTTGGCAGCAACAGTTACATTCTCATCAGGGGCTGGTTTTGTGAACAAGTGGGATTCGTTACTGCGCGCTCTGGGACCCACACTGCACCAAAATGGGTTTGGCTTTGAGTATACCGCGGACTGCACATTTTTCAGTCCGAATGATCTGGATTTGTCAAACGCGGTCTCACAATCAGGTGATCTGTATTCCAACAGCTTTTGTGGAATTTCACTTGTTGTCATCCCACCGATGAAACCGCATCGCGAATAGCCTCGTCTCGATGAGTTTCGGCAGTAACGGCCTGAAAATTGCAGTCCTTCTCAAGTATTTTTACCTTCTGCAGGAATTGTCAAGTGACTGTCCGAAATCTTGTTTCGCGGTACACGAAAGGTGCCATGCGTATATCACATTTTCCGGGCGTATGTAAAAGGAAGATAAAGTCCATATGGTTGAATCGTAAACCATACCATCGGCGATTCGTTCAAGATTGACAGCAGGAATGCACTGAACAAGAGTCTTGACAGTAAGCACTGCACTCCTGATGCTTGTGCGTCAAGTGCGTGGTCGAGGCGTTACAAAGTTTTTGTTATGGGGACCTCGTTATCTCACAAAACTTCGTGCCGGACGTTTTCTCCCGCTCTCCCAGTCGTTGCCTTGTAACCGTTACGGGATGCGTTATTACTGACTATATTATTCGTTAGCAAACATCTCCGACCTAACAAGACATTGTTACCAGGTCGCTGATTGCGTGATGTCACTAGTGCTACTTTCGTCGGGTGGTACTTACGTCACACTGATTACCACCTATTACTAAGTGACCACTACGACGCTCGATAACGAGAAAACCCGTGCTCTAAATACCAGGCTGTACAAATTGTGTTCGATCTACGTTTGAGCAGCAAAAGCACTTTGCTGAGGGTCATAGTCTTTTCCTCTCTCGGGAGCGAGTAGTTTTGCGGTGTCCGTATTAGTCTCGGTACAGTAAGGAAGAACCGTTGGCCGACTAAGTCACTCGGGACGCGTCGATCCGAATTCGATCATTCGCTTGTCTAATCGGGGCACACTCCACGAAATCCATATCGTTTTGACTACAGGTGATGTACCCAAGTGGATGCTCATCTGATTGAACTTACTATGGAACGATGTGCGCTACTTCCCAGAGGCATGTGGTTATGGATTGAGACAGATAATTGAATCACACTAGAGAATACCGGCTAATTTATGTAGAAATCTACGGCCTATCCAACTTTTAAGAATACCTCCTAATACCTAGCCTTGCCGTGGCCAGACAACTGCAGAAGTTTGGGTGACGAGTAACGGCATCGACGCTGATGTTCCATCTGCCCATAGTCATCTTACATCACGTTCGTCCCCATGACTGGGTTACACGAGGTCTCCGGAAGCGTTTATGAAAGGGTACAAAGAAATTGCGTGCTTATCTCGCCCGGAACGATTGGAGTTTCACTGTTTCCATCTCAAGTGCTTAAGCCAGCTTCGATGGATGCGATAGCTCACATCATTCGACGCTTTTCTTTGATCATGTGGCAGAAACTCTCGATAATTTTACGTCTGAGGGTATTTGTGTGGGGGAATCTATTGCACCTTGTTAATGACTATCTAAGGCGCACTCGGGATTCCAGGGTTTTGCTGCTCAGCGCGTCTTGGACCGTGCTTAGAGAGAAGCCTGAAGATTTGGTATTACTGGTGTGCGGGAATATGGTACGCTCTGGGTAACGATGTTCAGCACGCTGAGCGCTATTGACAGTTGGCCAGTGTCATCCGAACCTCAACTCGATTTCCTAAGGCCTATCGAATCAGCTAAGTCAGCGTAACGCCTTGATCAAGGTGAGCTGAATGGCTGGTTTGACAATACAATGTTGGTTTCTCCTCCGCAACATCCAATGATTATAGTGCTGATGTATTCTCAAATGCCAACTCGATTGACTTACGCAACACCAATCATCTAGCTGTGCTTAGTGACTGCCAAGTTCCCCTATTTTGCCACTACGATGTTATGTTCAGTGGTTGACTAAACATCTGTTTCCAACTTTTCGGCTGTTACTTATTGATGGTGTATAACTTAGTCAGTCGATTGGGCGCATAGTCGATGTTTCTTTGTGTGGATTCACATGCTGTACATCTAGCATCGTCACAGCCGTCAAGTTGTCTCATCGTTAGTGCCCCCATGATCTATCTTACACCATTTTGTGTACAAAAAGGATAAGGATAGTTCGCATTACTGCTTCCTCCATGTTTGATTTGCGCGGACACAGGAGATACGGCAGTGTTATTCTTCACGGTTGGTATTCCACTGCGTTTCTTTAAACCAATCGGAGAATTCAGTCTATTATCCATCCTATTCCTCGTATTCGATTCTGCACCGTTTGTCTTCAGATGGAAGCGTTGCAAACATACTTTAAACCCTCTATGCTACGCTATGCTGTGGCGGTGTTCACTCAGCATTATTATTCTACCGCTTGGAGTGCAGCAGAATGGCACATCAACTTTTTCGTGATTGGGCATTGTTTCGACCAATCGCGAATTGATGCTCTGTTGGTACAGCAAGTGATTTCTCCCCTATCACGATCTTTTCTCATTGTCCTGTAAGGAAACACTGATGCCTCTCAGCAGTGTAAAATGTTTATTATTTCAACTATACATTATTCCCGCTATTGCAGTAATGCCATACTTCAGACATTACAGTAACAGACATAGCACACACCCAGTTACGTTTTCTTACAACCAACTGGGTGGGTGGAAACCCAATCACAATTCGCACGATAAGGTTATCAATCGTCCCGAAGATTTATTCTTGTCAGAGGAACGCGAACTTCTGGACACACCCACGGATGCAGCAGTCAACATTCTGAGCCACCACCCACTTACTAACGTCGATATGGCTACTTACTACCCTGACTGGCATCACTTCCTTCACGGGGATGGTAACCAAAGATGTCTACCGATTCCTCAAGACATGCTACTGTGTCAGCACGTAGGATACAAAAGAATGATCCTTCCCAACTTTTTGCAACACGAAGATTACAAAGAGGTTGTGGACGAATCGCAGGTGTGGGTTAGCTTGGCACACACCGAATGTCATGCTGATCTGAAAAAGTTTCTGTGCGCTCTTTATGCCCCCGTATGTCTCGAAGAATATCAAGAACGTATGATAGCTCCCTGCAGTGATTTGTGTGAAGAGGTTCGACAACAGTGTCTTCCAAAAATGCTTCAGTTCGGATTTGGCTGGCCAGATATTGTGGAATGTTCCAGGTTTCCTAGAAGCTCATCCAAAATGTGCATTCCCTTAACAAACAAGACGAGTAAGTTGACTTACTTCTTTTTTCTTTTTATCAGTATACCACAAAAAAGCGACCTCGATGCAAAATATGTTTGGTTCTTACTGTTGTTTGCGATCAACTTATGCATCTACAGTTCCCTTCCTATGTTTCCTTAACTACTTAAAGGCAGTTTTGTTTTGGTGTTTTTGAACATACTTGCTTTTTGATTATTATGATTACATTGTACCTCGCCTGAAAGTAAGAGATACATTTCAGCCAATATAAGATGTATGGAAAAAAATGAGGTACAGAACATTACAGAATACAAACTAAAACACACAAAGTAGTATTATGATGCTCAGTATCATGTTACGCATCACGTGTGCGAATGTGGTTGGATGTGGAAGATCAGCGGAATGGGATGAGACGAAGCAACTCACAACCCGAGTGCGACTTAGTCAGGCTCATCGCCATGTCAACAATTGCACTAAACCAAATGGTTCATCGTCCTTCGGACCCCAAACCGGCAGCCGGGAGACACCAACCGACACCAAATTCGAAGTAAAAGACTTCATTCCTGTTGACCAAGTCATCGTTTGGCTTCTTCTCTCTTCTATCCAAATCCCGGTCGTGCAAGCTACTTACATCGCGGGAGTCAGTGTGCTAGCATGCACAACACATGGCCCAGCCATCGGAGCTTAGTGCTTGATATAACGGCGCTGAGCGATTCACTCACTCTTCCTGCACCAAATCAACAACAGCAGTACATCAGCCATTCGAACTGATGCTTCGCTGCCATACAACCATAACGAACTACGGAACGAAGAATAATAAGAGGGAGTGAAGGGGGGACTTACGGGAATAACTTAGTACTCTAAGCGAACATTCAGGATCAAGACGCCTAAACCTTGTCATCAACATTACAAACAGCTGGCTATCATGCATAGATACGGCGGCATCGGCGAGACAGCTTTCTTGCGGCTTTCACTGCCTCACGTCATAATCAGCCCTTACCCCACAGGTAAGTCAGCACCTGCACCAAACGCACGACGTTGAACACACTCATTGCTCACTCTGTGTTCCCACCACATGTTAGCTATACTGCGAAAGCGGCGATTGTCGAACGTAACTAGCCTATTAATGTTCCTCGATCTGATGGACTAGGTTTCGCAACCCAACAGGGGGTTGAACAGATGGCTGTGTTGTGAACTCCGCATTTCAAGGCGAGGGTAAGTCGCTCCGGCGCCACAGGTGACGGAGATTGGCGAAAGCGCCTCGAGCTTTTGCTATGCAGTTCGCGATCTCATCTTCTGTTCCAAAGCGGCAAATATAGGTGCTTAGATACTTGAATTCTTGAACGACTAGCTGATCACTGCCGTGGATCAACACAGAGGTGGGTCCCTGCTAATCATGAAGGACCTTGCATTTCGATGGTGCAAAGCATAACCCGACACGATTGACAGCCAGAGCAAATTTCTCCAGTTTAGCTTGGTCCGTTTGTGAGCTGTCACAGATAGGGGCAATATTGTCGGCTTACTCCAAGTCAAGAAGTCGGTCACCTGGAAGCAGCTTCACACCTTCCAAACCTTTTCCAATGAATGCATTTTCCATGACTTCCTCGATGACAAAGTTACAAAGTAATTATGACGGCGGGCAACCTTGTTTTACACCATTGGAGATATTAAAGGGCGGCGACAGCTTGTCGAAAGCCCCCACTCTACCAGAACCACATGTGAGTTGAAACTAGATGACAAGATGGGGGACGACCGTGAATTGGAAGGTTGAAAACAGGGGGATAAAAGGGAATTTCGAACAAGACATGGATGAAAAAGGAAGGAGAGGGAATCCGTAGACGAGAGTGCTTGAGCGGTGACATCCTAATCCATTTCTACCCTGCTCGATGCGTCAGATAAAAGGCCGTTATCCTCTGCGATGGCCAGGACATCAAAAGTTTTTGAAGGGAAAGTCGTCATATTGCATTGAACGAGCAGGATGCTGTCAAGTTATCCATGCCTAGACAGGACTTGTTTCATGTGCTCTGCGATATGTAGCGAAGCGGATGCAGTACGATGACTGTGTGTTTGAAGTGGGATGTTGATCAATTTGTGACTCTAGCCACAGCATTCCTCCTACCTACTTCAGCTACTATTAACCGACAGACTTTTTGACCTGGGTTGCAAGCACTTCTCTGCGTTAACTTCATTTGATCCTTGTGCGGCTGACCTCTGAAATCATCTATTGGACAATGAATATGCGCGGCATCGTTGTATACGTGCTTAACTAGATTCCAGTTTGATTGTGTGAACCTCTATAAAGAACACTGAAACATTCTTCACTTGTAATGCACATTCCAGTTTCTGTTTGTCTTGTGTACCACTCAACAACTGGTGCAGCTTATGCCTATAGTAGCTATGGACTTAGCTAACAAATGATTTCAATAGACTTAAACAACGCTAAACGACTCCTTACGCCTGAGCCTGTTCCTTCGTAAACCATAGTTTGATATATTTTTCTCTTATTTCCATGACTGTTCGGAAGATTGAATGTTTGGAGATCAGGTTATGTCAGAGACCAATTATCAGATCTCAAACTATGTCTGCTCATCAGTATGAACTTGCATGGAATTTTCAAGTCTAGTCAAATTAAGTTTCACGAGCCCAAACGGGTTCAGTTTCAACCTTTACCCTGCCACTACGGATGTATTGGAAGAAAATATCCATAAAAGACAAACTCGAAGAGCAAATAAAACACATACACAAATGTCACGAAAACCGCACACGCAGCACGTGTATAAGTTGTTGGGTAGAAAAACAAACCTGACAAATTGGGTAAGATAATATTACGATAGGATGAAGTGGGGCCAATGTGTGGCACTTGCCCGAACACCACAGAGACGCTATCGATCGATGTCTGCTCCTTATCGGAAACCCTCCGACAAGATTCGAGCTCTGTACACATTCTACGATCCCATTGCTGTAGCACTGGCGACTTTTTCACTGTTTGTCTGGAGATGATGCAGCTTCGAATGTCAGTCAAACCTGTATGGGCATTGCTCTGATTCCCCGGGCTGAAGCTGCGTTGATAAATTGCATCCCATGCAGCAGCCGGATGTGCACCGTCGGATTGCCTGGCTCGTTCAAAGCTTTGAAATCGCACGTGTGTAGTAGGTGCGTGTTTATCATTGCTACCTGCGCCTCCACAAACTGTAAAACTGACTTAATGAAAGACGACTTCTATCGCCAATTGAATGAGACCATTTGTAACCAACAAGTACGGATGCTCTAATGCTGGCTGGTGATCTGGACGCTGAAGTTGGAAAATTATCCAATAATGAGCTGGGTCATGGCAGACAACACGGTGTAGGCTTTTGTAATGGTAACGGTCAGCAATCGCTACACCTATGTGTAGCGATTTCTCACGTGCACTAACTTTCGACACACCACTCGCCAGTGGGTCACATTGCACCCGGGGTCAGCTATGGACGCAAATCGAGTTCGTCGCGATCAGTTAGCATTGGAGAGATTGGGTTTAAAACCGTCTGATTTGTAGCGCAAGTGAGAATTTCAATGATGCACTAGTATGTACTGATATGCAGGTGCATTTCGGCAGACAACCATGACGACGCTTTGGGGGCACGGATAACTATCCACTGGCCAAGCCGAATGTACTGAATGCGTATCGAAGTACTCTGATTAAATGTTCACAGTTGGATGTCGCATGTTCGCCAGACGTTATTAGCAGCAGATGTGTCTTCATGTGCTAACTCTGCTTACCAACCTGAATATCGGGTGTCTACGCACATTTTGCAACTTTGGATGTTCGCGGCACATTCCGGTTGCAAGCGAACACAGTGAGACACGGGAGGTTCAATTCCTCTATATTCTCCTAAATGCTCAATGCGTATGTGTGGCCCCATGTAGAGTACGCGATCCTGGCGTGACAACCCTGGTTAAAACCTGATCTGGCTGCACTAGAGACCGCACAGCGAAGGACAACGAAAAATGTGAAGGGATTGTTCCAACTGCCATGCCATATGCGACTGAAAGCCCTGGGACTGTACAGCGGTAGATCTCGCCGTCTACAAGGTGAACTCCTCCTGGCGTTCCAGATCTTGAAAACCCTCGGTCACATTTGCCGCCACCTCCTGAACTTAGCCGCAACACATCAATGTGAAGTCATAAACTGAAACTGATCACCCAGTGCAGTCGGCTGGAGTGCCGCCGGAATTACTTTTCCCTCGAATTTGTCAACCGTGGAACACTCCTTCGAATTTTGTCATTTCTGTGATCACGTTAACCATTTTAAAAAAATGACTGACCGATCCTTTACACCGCCTGCATTACTTGATCTTGGTTTCTATTACTTGAGTGACGACAAGATGCAGTCAAACATTGTGCTCACCAGCCACCGAGCAATCGGGGTAAACGGAAATACTTGTCTTAACGTGGATAGTATTGTGAGTCCACAGATGCGTTTTTCATTTTTGTGTAACTTTTTCTTGAACTAACCTTATTCCCACAAATCATCCCGCGGGACTTGTAAAGCATTGGCTATTTTTCGTCTTATACCATTGTTCAAACTCCTAGGGGTGGAACTGCATGGCTAGCTTGAAGATAGACCGCGAATCCTGGTGGTCTCGTCGTGCATCGACATTGGAAATGGCCTTTTCCATTGATAATCATCCTTGGTTATTTAATGCGATACGAGAAACAGGCAGCTGGTGACTTGGTGTTAATGAGACTATGCGATGAGATTGAACAACCAGTCCTCAGTCTGTCAAGACGCTTGGAGCGTTGGACTGCACATTTTGAAAAGCAGTGTAATCAGACGAAGTTACCAGCTTCCTATGGTATAGTGATTGCCCTTCTCCCTGTGCCGTCCCCGTGGATCCGTCCTCACACGCAGAAGTCGAGTTTAAGGTCAAATTCTCGAAATTCAAAAAGGCGTAAGAGCACATAGGCGTTCCCTAACCTTCTTCTTCTGGTCAATGGAATATTGCGGAGTAAAAAAAACCGAAGTTTGACATGTCCCGCTAGATGATC